TATATAGTGTAAAGATGATATCTCTGGATGGAAAGATATTCAAGACTCAGTGACTGCCACAATATACATGAGTATACCAAGGATATACACTCAAAGTATACTTGAGTGTACCAAGGTATACTTTAGTATACCAGTGACTTCCACAATATATGTGAGTATACCAAGGATATACACTCAAAGTACACTCGAGTATACCAAGGTACACTTGAGTATATCAGTGACTGCCACAATATGCGTGAGTATACCAAGGATATATACTCAAAGTACACTTGAGTATACCAAGGTATACATTGAGTATACTAGTGACTGCCACAATATAGGTGAGTATACCAAGGATATACACTCAAAGTACACTCGAGTATACCAAGTATACAGTGACTGCCACAATATACCTGAGCATATTACTTGTTGCATACAGGATCACCATACCAAATACAAATGACTATGGAAAGAGAAAGGAAGAAAAATGAATTCATTTCACTGAGAATCACTACTCTGATTAATCATTAATTATCTTTATACTTATAATGAAAATGTAATGAAATCATTACATTTATCCACATGTAATCCCATATAGGTAAAATTTTGCCTCAATATTATAATATTTATAATTTAGTATAATTTTTTTGTCTTCTCTCCTAATTTTTATAATAGCTTTATATATATTTCACTCTATATTATTATGTGCATATATAATTTATGTTGACTGATTATTATTGAGGATGGATAGAAAGGAAATGAGATATAAAGGTAAAATGCCATAGATTCAGTGTAGCTAAATTTGACCTATTGAAAATTAAGTGAAATTGCATTTATCTAGTTACAGCTCCTCTGGCCCATTTGATTGTCTCTAATACTGTTTGCTCATATCCTTATAAGGCAATACTTTTTATTGTTGAGCACTTCAGCTACTGAGTGTTAAGTATGTGGTCTCCAAGGCAGATTCCACAAAAGCAGGCCCACTAGCTTACTTCCAAACTAAATATTCATTCAGAATAATTCTAAACCCATGTTTTATTGGATTTAAATATCAAAAAATTGCTTGTTGTGTCCTTGGAATCTCTATGTTACCAAGCCATCTTTCTTCCTGAAAAAAAAAAATTAAATGTGTAAATTGCATTATTTTAAATCTGTAGCATTAGAAGAGAAGCATTAGTAAGGAATAATTTTGTCTCCACTCAAGACAACCTTTATTTCTATCTCTCCTTCTCTGTTTTCCTCTTCTCCTCTTCCTACTCTACGTATGGGCATTGCAACACAATTGAATTTGTATAATACTTTATATTTGTAATGGCTGTGGCAATTCAGCATAATGATTGCCTGAGAATCATTCTTGATGATAATTACAATAATAAAAGAAGGGGAGGGGAAGCATGAAAATATTTGCTATTGCCTATTACCTATGCTGAATTTTTTATGGTTTCTCATAGTGGTGAGCCAGTCACTAATCTTCTGTAAAACTAATCCTATTTTACAACCAAATTGACTGAGAACCAGAGATAAATTACGTAATTAAGATTAAAAGACAAAAACGGCAACTAAAATGTGAACGAAAGTCTATTTTAGTCCATAGCATTTTTAATTAGTAAGGGAAAATATCTGTAAACCAAACTGTTGGTTTACAAAGTCTTCTTGCTTTCAGTTATGGCAATTCTCTGGAATTTCAGCAATACGAGCATTTTTGAAACAAGACCAAGTGAAGTCTATTTCTGAAGAAACCGTCCATGTAGTGACGTGAAACTTTCAGCTAAAAGATGGTGTTTTTGCCCATGTCTTTCAGTTTCAGCTATGCTGCGAGGCATGGTGTTTTTAATCACATCATATGCGCATGACAGATGGACATTGAATAAGGGAAACATCTGAAGTATCAATGCATTTGAATTGTCATGCTGGTAAAGGAGATTGAAGGTACCCTGGACTGCTGGAGGTTTAGAATTGCCAACAATGCAGATCACAGCCCAACATGTAACAACTACATTACCAGTACTTCTTAGGAGAGACTGGTCTCTGGAGAAGAACATCATGTTTCGTAAAGTAGAGGGACAGCAAAAAAGAGAAAGGCCCTGTACAAGATGGATTGACACAGTAGCGACAACAGTGGGCTCATACATAAGAACAATTGTGAGGATTGGTATTTCTTCGTATTGGACAAAGGTTTGCTATGAGTCAAAGCCAACTTGATGGCACCTAATAACAATAATAATATCTCTGCCTTTGCAACTTGTACCAAATGAATCATTAGAAACATTGTAATAGGGTTTGTTCAGTTTTGTCATCCCTCGGGATGTGGAAAAGACATCTTACGAGCAAGAACAGAGAATCCCATGACCATCAATAAAGGATACCTTCCAGTGGAGGGTGTGTGAGATCCCTGCCTGAAGTGGCTGAAGCAGCAGGGGAACCAGAGGCTGTGCCACACAGAGATCCCGAGACAAATCGGAGGAGCAAGAGCAAGATCGTGAGGCCAAGTTTCGAGTTTCTTGGCCCGTGTAACAAGGCAGATGCCAAGGGTCCATGCAGCTGGGAGGCTGAGGGTCAAAGACAGATATGTCTGAGACTTTGTGAACAAAAGACTTCTTCCTTAATGGTTTCTGGTCCTGGTTTGGGGTAACCTGTTAACTTCCCTAATAAATCCTCACAATCTTGAGTCTTGTCTGTGAGCTCTGTGTAGCAATTGCAATCGATTATCAAAGCCAGCAGAGAAGTAGACTGCCCTGTGAGGAACAGTTGGTGTAAGAATAGGGTAGAAGAAGGCTGATGAGCACAGGTATGTCTCACCTCTGCCTGTCGCTATCCACCTTGGGCTGCTGTGGAGTTGGACTCTCCTTTCCCTCCTGACGGAAGTCAGATGTGATGAAAACTTATACCTTTCTTCAGGGTTGAAATATATACAATTGTATTTCCTTCTTAAAGCTGCATACTGTAATGCATTTTCACATTATGAAGACACCAATCTCAAATTTCAATAAGTACTTGAATGGCTAGGTTAGTTTTTAAGCAGGCAGGTATGAGTCAGCAGTGACTCACTGGCAGGGAATTTTGTTTCACCTTCTTTCTTGTACGTGGGATTGTGTGATTGTCCAGGACTATTAATATAGAAAGACTCTTGAAGACCAGAATTTTAATCAATCACATGGTAAACATTCTGACAAGAACTATAGTGAGCAAAGTAGTTCAATGCTGTTCAAATCTATTGTTTTTCCCAAATTGATTTCTTACATCCATTGAGTCAATGCTGGCTCACAAGGACCACATATGGTATGGAAGAACTGCCCTTCTGAAACTGTAACTGCTGACAGGGATAGAAAGCCTTGCCATCCTCCCGCAGAGCAGCCGGAGGTTACAAATTGCCTGCCTTGCAGATTGCAGCCCAATGCATAACCATTACACCACCAGGGCTCCTCCCAAATAGATATGGCCTGTGAATTCTATCGCTCCCAATGTGTTTTAAAAGCCCTGAACTATGCAGTTTCCTTACTACATGGGCTATGTTGTTTTACTTCATTTCATATAATTAATTTATTTTTTTAAGTCAAAATGAAAGTATAGTAAAAACAAAACTCTATTAGTTTACCAGAATAAAAGTCAAACAATTATAGTTATCCTGATAAACTGAGGTTCTAGTCAACCTTAAACATATATCCCATATTTCTTTGTTAGGTTTTAGGTAGCCCTAAAAATAACTCTAAAGAAACTTGGAATTATCTAGTCAAGCTATGAATAAGGATTTTAATTTCTATTATAGATACCATCTCACTTATATATTTTATGGTAAGCATATTGGGGAGTGGGAGTTCTGGTGTACTACAGAAAATTGATGCATTCATCTATCAACGGACTGGTGGTTCAAGTCCACCCAGAAATACCTTGTAAGAAAGAAAATGTAATTAATAAGTTAAAGAGAGAAGGACTACCTGGTTTTCAGGATACTGTTGCGCAGGGAGAGGTGTAGCATGTTTATAGTAAAGAAAGTATAAGGTAACACAGTCATATTCAATTAAGAGCAATATAGCTGCAGAATAAGGAATACGTGTATATGTTTCTGCTGAGATATGGATTTAGTTATCACCAACTTGAAAATGTTATAGAATCGTTGAGTTAGAAGCCAGTGTAGATCTTTACCCTTCTATTGAACTCTAGAGGGTGGTGATTTACTTTTCAAGGTCAAAACTATCCATTGGCTATGGATTATTAATGCCTTGTTTCCCCATTTCACATGAAAAGGGTTATGGAAAATCACCAAATAAAACGTACATCTAACACTGAACTATGTCTAGCTGTACTTAATTTTTTTTTATAAAACAAAGCAAATAAGGTGAAGGATAAAGAGAAGGAGGAAAGAAGGGAGAAGAGAGGCAGGCAGGCAGGAAAGAAATCAAAATTCAATATTTTCACTTGATTAAAATGGAAATGAAACTCACCTGGTTTAATTTTAGGAATACTGACACTTCATCACCTTCTAAAGTGCTGAGACTTATAAATGAGATGAGATTTCCTAAGAAGTAAAATATAATATTTTAGGACTTGGAATATTATTTATTTAAGATACTGTGGACTTTGGGGCAAGAGAGATTGATGATCATTATTTTTACATTGCTTCTGGTTTTGCAATACCCAGTGTTCCTGAAGGCATGTAGACCACTGACATGTTTAAATCTTAAAGGTAAGATTAATCAAAGATTTAGTAGTCTCATAATCCTTTACTTTTTAAACATAAACTTTCTCCAGAGGAAGAACTTTCCTTGGGAACTGAGCTTCTTTATACTAGCGAACTGCCACAGAATCAATGAACACCCCCCCACCCCACCCCATGAGTGAGTCACCCACCCTTGAGGATGTCACCTGCATTAAAGGGTTTTTGTCACTAGGTTACCCTTCCAGCATATATTAAAATGCATGTTATTTTTCAATGAGAAAAATTCAAGTTTTTTCTGTTTTGTTTTGTTCCTTCTTCCATTTAATTTACCTTCATTAACCTATGTCCAACATCTCCTTTCCAGGAGGACAAGGGCTGTGCTATGAAACACCCAGAAGAATGCCTGAGCCCCACCACTGCAGAATCAGAACCTGCCCCACAGGTATTTTCATTTTTTGGTTTCTGTTTGTTTTATTCCACAAAGCATTCCTTGATCCATTGTTCTCAGTGCTTTTCTCTCTGGATTCAGTCAGAAAAAAGGTTGTGTATTTACTGATACAAGAGAGTTCTTTCTACTGTGCCTGTCACTAGATTGTTGGTTTAATGATGCAAAACCCTCCAATAATGAGAGGAGGACTCCCTAGCTCATCCAGGCAAAAATTAAAACAACAGTCCACTGTGGTCTAGTTGATTCTGACTTAGAATGATGCTACATAAGGTTCCCTAGGCTGTAAATCTTTACTCACTCACTACTATCAAGTCGATTCCCATAGTGACCCTACAAGACAGAGTAGAACAGCCTCTGTGGGTTTCAGAGCAGTAACTCTTATGGGAGCAGATGCATCCCTTTCTTCTGTGAAGTCTTGAAGTTAGCTGACTTTTCTTTTTTGGTGGCTCCAGCCAAATAAAAATCAATTATTGTGCTTGGATGGCTGCTTGCAAGCACAGTGAAAATAACTAGAGGGACTATGCAGTACCTTTGGAGGTAAACAAGAGCTGTAAACAATGTTGGGCCAAATCAGGGGCGTGTGCCATGAGCCCAAGGAATCAAATTTCATGATGTCTTTGGTTATTCATAATTAGCCTCAATAGTTATTCTTCTTTTAAAAAATCATTTTGCTAAATGTATATATTACAAAACTTTTACCAATTTAACTTTTAACAGGTTTACAGCTAACAGCTTTTACAATAATCAATTGTGGGTTTTTTTCTATCACTTCATGCCAAAACTCAGTACTTCAATAACCCAACTTTCCTCAGACCTTCACCCATTGTAAGTAGTGCTGTTGTAGTTAGATGCCCTCAAGTCAGCTCCAACCCATAGCGACCCTTTGCACAACAGAGCAAAACACTGCATGGTTCTGAGCCATCCCCACAATTGCCCCTATGCCTGAGCCCATTGATGCAGCCACTCTGTCGATCTAACTAATCGAAGGCCTTCCACTTTTTCATTGTCCTCTAGCAAACATGATGACCTTCTTCAGGACTGGCCTCTACTTAAAATATATCCAAAGTTAGTAAGATGAAGTCTTGCCATCCTTGCCTCGAAGGAACACTCTAGCTTTATTTCTTCCAACACAAATCTCTCTTCTTTTCAGCAGGCCTGGGTATTTTAATATTATTTTCCAGCATCACAATTCAAACGCATCTATTCTTCTAAGATCTCAATGTCCAACTTTGACACACTTATGATATGATTGGAAATTCTATGACCTGGGTCAGGCGCACCTTAGTCCTCAAAGTAACATTCTTGCTCTTCAATTCTATAAAGAGTTCACATGCAGCAGATTTACCTAATGCAATATGTCTCTTGATCTCTTGACTGCTGCTTCCATGAGCATTGACTGTGGATTCAAATAGGACAAAATCCTTGACAGCTTCAACCTTTTCTGCATTTATCATGAAGTTACCTATTGGTCCAGTTGTGAGGACTGTGGTCTTCATTACACTGAGTTGTAGACTGTATTGAAGGCTCCAATCCTTGATCTTCATCATCAAGTGCTTCAACTCCTCCTTACTTCAGCATGCAAGGTGGTGTCATCTGGGTACCATCTGGGTAAGCCTTCTTCCAATCCTGATGCCACACTCTTCTCCACATAATCCAGCTTCTCTGATGATTTGCACAGCGTATAGATTGAACAAGTATGGTAAGAGGTTACAACCCTGACATAACACCTTTCTTGATTTTAAACCTTGCTGTAGTCCTCTGTTCTGCTTCCAATTCTATATACAATTCTATAAAACTGCCTCCTGCTCTATCGACAAGTTCCAAATGAGCACAATGAAGTGTTCTGGAATTCCCATTCTTCTCAATCTTATTCACCATTAATTATGGTCCACAGAATCAATGAAATACAAGTAAACATCTTCCTGGCATTTTCTGCTTTCCGCCAAGATCCATCTGACATCAGCAATGATATCCCTTGCTCCACTTCCTCTTCTGAATCTGGCCTGATCTTCTGGCAGGTCCCTGTCAATGTGCTGCTGCAACTGTTGTTGAATGATCTGAAGCAAAAATTTACTTGTGCACGATATCAATGATATTCTTCTGTAGTTTGAATATTCTGTTTGGTCATCTTTCTTGAAATGGGCACAAATCTGGATCTCTTCCAGTCAATTGGCTAAGTAGCTGTCTTCCAAATTCCCTGGCATAGACTAGTGAGTGTTTCTTCAACTTCTGGAAACATTTCAGCAAGTATTTTGTCAATTCCTGAAACCTTGTTTTTGGTGAATGGATTCAGTACAATTTGAACTTTTTCCTTCAGCACCATTTGTTGTTGTTGTTGTTGTTGCTCATATGCTACCTTCTGAAATGGTACACTGCTGACTAGTTCTTTTGGTGCAGTGACTGCGAATACTCTCCATCTTCTTTCGATCCTTCCTGCATCATTCAATGTTTGCCTATAGAGTCAAAATCCTTTTAAAGGATTCTATTGTAACAACTAATAAACTTTAATTGGTATCTTCTCTTATTGTAAACTTGGTGGCTTCGTGATTATGTGTTGGGATGCTAACCATAAGCCACTCGGCAGAGAGAAAGACAGGGCTTTCTACTCCCATAAAGAGTTATAGTCTCAGAAACTCACAAGGACAGTCCTGCCCTATTGTATAGGCTCTCTATGAATCAGAATTGACTTTATAGCAGTGAGTTTGGTTTGGTTTATATAAGTGAAATCATGCAATATTTATCCTCATATGATTATTTCACTCAAGAAATGTCATCCACCTCCATTAATATTTCAGCATATATCAATATTTCACTTCTCTCACTGATTTAATAGTATTCCATTTGTATGCATATATCATATTTTGTTTATTAATCTGTTATGAGAATTTAGATTGTTTCCAAATTTTGTTATTGTAAATATTACTATAATGAATGCTGGCATATGATTATCTTTTTGAGTCTATGATTATAAGTATTTTGGGTATATACCCCAATGAGATAGATGCATAATATGGTAGTTTTAGTCTTAATGGGTTTTTGTTTTCTCTGAATTTTATTTATCACTTTTTAAATTGTGAATTCAGTAGGGGTTTATATTTCAGATAGTCAATCTTGTATTCATTACTTTAAACTATATATTAAACCCATATTATTTGAGCCCATTGCCCTTTTGATTTCTCTATTCTCTCTTGTGGCTTAATATCTTCCCCTTCACCCAAGCTAACTCCTGTCAACCCTTTCGTATATTGTTTCATTTTCTCTCTCTACCCCTCCCCTTCTTTGTAACCTCCAAAGTCAGGAGGGTCTCTAATACTGTTTTCTACAATGGATGTGCTGTCTTGCATTCTCACCAGCAGTGGTACAAAAACCAAACCAAACCCATTCTCATTGAAATGATCATGACCATGGAGAACCTATGTACGGATGGTCAAAACTCTAAATCTTTATAGGAGCAGAGAGCCTCATCTTTCTTCAACCATAAGATTGGTATGTTTGAACTAGTGATCTGGTAGATAGGAGGCTAACTTGTAACCTACAATGCCGCCAGGGACCAATGTCCTTAAATCCTTACCTAAATATATTCTTTTCTGAGTTTTCATTGATGTTGTTTTAGCTTAGCTGTGCTCATTCACTGCCCTCAAGTTGATTCCCATTCTCAGTGACCATATAGGACAGGGTAAAACTGCTCATGTGAGTTTCTGAGACTGTAACTCTTTACTGGAGTAGAAAACCCTGTCTTTCCAAAGTTGGAGGTTTCAATTATATTTGTTATATTGCAGCCCAAAGTGTAATGACTATGTCACTGGGATTCCTTAGGTAACCTATTGCGAGAGAAATGATATCATATTGTGGTTTTGATTTGCATCTCTCTAATGGCTAATGACAATATCTTCTCATGTGTTTTGTAGTCATTTGAATGTACTCTCTAGTGAAAAGTCTGTTCAAGTCCTGTGCTCATTTTGTATTTTTTCGTTAAATTGACATATATATATATATAAAATATTTACTAGACCCATAGTTTCCAAATGTATAACATATTTGTTTAAATATTTGAAAATATTTGAATTTCTAATACTATATTAGCATTCTGTTTTTTTCTGAAACTTCATATTTATTGTGACTATTCTAATCATCTCTTTTATGTTAACAGAAATTGCAAATGTCTGCTTGTCCTGAATGTGAGGTGAAAAAATCAACAGAAAAAAACTTGAACAACTTTGAGGAGATGGCAACTAGAGAAGAAAAACTACTGTAAATACTAGGAAATTGTGTTTAACCCATTCATTTGCTATTGGTCTTGTACTCTTTTTAGATGACAAGCTTGATGAAAATACTAAGTTTCTAAAGCATGCAACTTTTTCAAACTTTTGTGTATCTTTATAAAATAGTTCACAAATTTTCTGGAAGATTCCAGGTCAATTATGATATTTTAGCAATAACCTCCAAAATGTATATCTACAGACATAAATATTGCATTATTGTGATCAGTAAATTTCCCTGTATAAATTGGTCCATTTTTAACCTACATGGCAGGTGCACTTGATTCTTCAAGTTCACTTACATTTCTAGTTCTCTAGTGATCTGTTGAAAGCCCCTAGAGGGTGAGGAAATGTGGATTCTCATTCTCCTTAGAATCCAAATGAAAATGACACGCTAAGGCTTTGTGCACACAAACCAATTGCACTCACTTATCTTTACAATGGGATCTGTGTTGGCTTACAGTGCTTTGAGCATCTCTACTGCTATTCTTCTTAATAATTTGATTGATCTCTAAGTAATGCCAAGTCAATTCTATCAATAAATACAGTAGTTAGATAACTTATTAATTCAGTTTATTAGCATGAACAAACAAAAAATCTGGATGAATAACTAAATATTGGAACATATTTAGATTTGAATTGTTTTGGCATTTTGTATTGCTTTATCTGAAGTGTATATCTAATTACTTCAATTTAGGAATCAAATGTAGACATTTTGGCATTATCTTGGTATAAAGTGAATTTTGGAGTAGGAAAAGAATTTTAAAACATGAAAGCAGATAATCTACATAGAAAATATGACAGTTCCTCTAAATAAAACTTCTATATAGTACCAATGACCATAGATTCATATTTATAAAACAAGTATATTATTAAAAAAAACAACGAAATGGTTGAATCATTGAAATTGGGACTCTCAATAGGAACACCACTCATCAAGTAAATGCACCTTTGAGCAATGTGAGCATAACTTCAAAGAATGTGAGATTGAATCTTTTGTGATTACATAATTGATAGGGAAGATCTACAGAACTGTAGGCTCAAAATAATGAATTAAATGATGCATATGGCTTGTCTTCATTAAATATACTCATTTTTTCTTATTAGACTAATTTATCAAATATAGAAAGCATATAAACCATTGGTTTTATATAATGGACTTGCCAACCTACAGAAAATACATTTGAAGCAAGGTATCCTGACAAATCTCTGTTCAAAAATTTAATAGATTATATCAAACTAAATCTATAATAAATGTGTGAGCATTTCCCATATAGTAGTATACTTTTGATCCCAAGGATATATTTAAAGATATTTTGTGACTTGGAGAATTTGAAAACTTCAATTAGAAGGTAAGTAACAATGTAGTAAACAAGGAGATTTCAAAAAGGTCGTGGAAAAATTGAATTAGAAGAAAATGAAATTTTTAGAGCACCTTAATATTCTGTACAATTTTTCTTTGCATCATTTTAAAGGCTACATAGGAGAGCTAAAGAATTCATTTTATAGATGATTCATAGAGTTTTCAGATGAAGTGACCAGGATAAATTAAGAGAGAGGAAGTCTCAAATTTTCTCTTAACCCACTAATTTCTTCCCAGGTGTCAAAATAATGTTATTCTATGAGAAGGAATATTTCTAGTCTCATTTCTTGGAATTTTTATACTGCACCCAGAAGCCCTAACCGTTCTCACAGTATTATGAAAGGAAAAATTATCATTAGCTTTAGCTGAGGCCCATTTCTCCACTGCACTGCATGCCCAAATTTCTTTCCTAGGTCCTAGGGATCTTTAGCAAGTTTTATCACTGTTTCACATCGGTGCAGTCTGTTTTGAGACATGTTTGCTTCTTTAAGAAGAGATTCAGGATGACTTTTCAGAAATTGTCATGAGAAGTAGGTACTATGGAATTCGAGAACTTGGCCATTAATTAAATTTGACCGCATTAGTTTTGTGGTCATTTCTTTGAATAAACTCTAGCATTCTAGTCTAGTATTTGGTGTGATAGTTCATTTGCTGGTCTTAAATTTCTGGCCTTATAAAATCAAGTGGGCTCTGAAGTACCATATAAAGCTTTTCTAAAAATAAAAAATACATAGCATTATGCACATTTTAATGTGATACACTGATTGCATAATGTATTCTGAAACATAAAGAACTTATCATAGGGAAGCTTTATGAGATATTTTAAAGAAAATTTAAGGAATTCCCTTTATTAAGTTAGCATGGGATTGTTTTACAGTAAATTCTACTATTGTAATGTCATACATACAGTTTATCTCTCTCCATATTTAATTGCTTGAAAATAGCACTAGAGAGGTTTTAAAAGGTTTTCTTTATGTGTGCAGTATTTTCCTATTAGATAGGTGTCATTACTTACTAGTTCTTTTAATTAGCAGATATATAAATAAGAGGAGCCTTCCAAGAGCTTATGGAAAAATTGAATAAAATATATGAAAAATATCTGCACATTTTTGTAGTCCCTTCATAGATATGCTCTTTTAGAAGTTAATATTTTGGCCATACTATTCTCATATGAAAGAAAATGTAAAGCTAATGTTGACCGTAGATATTACAGCGCATCATGTACCTATAGCAACAAGCATTGAAGGTTTACTAATGCTTTGTAGAATAGGAATTGATTCTTATTGAGAAATAAACATACTTTTCAATGAAAGAGCTTGTTTTAATATACTGTCAGAACTAATGGAAACTTTTTCTCTAGTTACATTAAAATATCTTAATTGATTATAATATTATATATCTGTTCCTGGAAAAGAATTTGTTTTGAACTTTGTGTTTCCTTTAATATTCATTAACTGTATATATACATATATATTAAATCAGTTGCCTAAGATGTGGAAAACCTAAGTGAAAACTTATATCTAACTAACACCAACATGCTGAAAAGAAAAAAAACAACAATTGAGTCAATCTTCTGGATATTACTTTCTATGTGATTCAAATATTTAAATTGGAAAATTCTAGATGGCTGACATGTTTTTAATTATTATTCATTAAGCATATATTTAACACAATAAAATTCCAAACACAATTGTGTTTAATGAATTATACTGGATTATAACACCAAGAAGGTTACATATAAAAGAAACAGTAATGTTATAGATTGGTAATGTGGATTTCTGGATAAAAACAATGTAAAGTTTGCTATAATGGAATCTTCTATTTTTCTAGCTCAGGTATTGTAACTAGCACTAAATGCAACAGAGAATGAAATAATTATTGGTACCACAGAGTGGGTCAATTGAACAATTTTAATAATGATTGAAGCATGTATTTAATTACTTATAGGACATTTTCTTAGTCATATGTACAGCCTTAAAATTCCTCAAACTGTGTTCCTCAGAATTGTCTCACATAATGTTAATGATCAATTGATAAAGAATAAAAGGTACTGAAAAATAGCCTATTTTCTTCAATAAAGATTTCTTACCAATACTATAATGTATATTATCCTATACAAGGCAATCAACTATAAAAGTTAAAAATAGTACTTGCTTTTGTGTATCAAAAATGATTTTTTTTAAGTCATAGTGATCCTATATAGGGTTTCTGAGAGTAAACCTTTTTTCATTTTCTCTTTATTGAAATAAAGTTCACATATCATACACTTAGATAGTAAATTCATTTCTTAAGCGCTGTATATACATGATCACAATCAGTTCTTGTGCTCCCTCCCCCTTCCACGTTCATTATTTACTCCCCATTACCTTCGCCCGCCCCATCCCCCATCCCGGATAAACCAATGCATCAGTTATTCTCTCTATGCATTCACTCCTTCTGTGCTTCATAAACTGGGAAAACTAGCAGAAACAATAAAAGCAAAACAGAAAGAAGAAAAATATTGATAATATAAAGATAAAATAAGCAATAAGGAAGAAAAGACCACCAGCAATATTTAAAAGGCCAGAGAAGAAATTTCTGTCATGGAGCAGCATCCTTTGCTGCTTCTCTCATTGGGGAATTTAAGTCCGAAATCCAAGAACTACAGGTGGTTTTGAATTAGAGCCTGGTTTGTTCAGTGGGGCTACCCTGTCCAGTCCTTCTGGTGTGGGCCTCGGGGGAGACCATGTCAGCATGAGACAAGAAATATTTAAGCATAGAAAATATTCAGGTTGGGTCAAGAGGGAGGTCAACTGACCAAGTATCATATTCGATCATAGTTCCATCCACCACAATCAAGTTGACAATCATCTTTTTACAGTAAAGATGTTCAAGGCCCTAACCTGTGTTCAGAAGGGATCCGCTAGAGGCTGAATCTGATTAGATATCTGCAGATGGATTTTTGGCCTCCCGCTGTCCTCTATAGCCTTATACAAATTGGGATATTCACAATTTAAGTTCGGATACTTCTCCCTTCATCATATTTGGGTTTTGCTATTGTCATCTTTGGATCACATAGACTGGTGTGCTTCCTCAATATGGATCCAGTTGACTTCTCATATAGATGACTGCTTGTTTGAATACAAGTCTTTAATAGCCCAGGTACTATTCCAATTGATAATTGGGCACCAACTGCTTTCTTCACCACACTTTGCTGTAGCACCCTTATCTGTATGCCCATGACCTCTTCATGAAAATATCAAGCAGGGCCATGTGATCCGATCTAATTGTTTTTGGATTGGGGATATAATTATGAAGGAGCCCAAAATCCAGCTGATTTTCCATGTTATGAATGACTCTTATTCACATTAGCAGTCAAAACAACAAAAACAAAAACAACAAACAAACAAAAAGAAAAACATTGTCAATCATCTTTGGGTATAAGGCGATTGCATTGATAGCACCAATCCTTTACCCAATGACATAGAAGGTACTGCTGATATGAGCTTATGTGAGTATAATTCTACTGCGAGCTGCAATCGATGAATTGTTGCTTTATAGATTGATTTCTTAATTGACTGAGTTCTGTTTGCATTAAGCTTGGGAATTGTGCTAAGGGAATGTTTCCCATAACATTCCTTACATAGACAAATCCTTGCCTATCAGATTAATACCTGTCATACTAATGTGAGGGGAGCATTGAAATACTAAATATATCGTGGTTCTGAATCCTCTTTTACTGGATGCCCACCAAGCCTTGGGGGTCTGATGACCACCATTTCCACAGTTTGAGAAGGCCATCCTTTGCTGCTTCTCTCCTTGGGGAATTTAAGTCATAAATCCAAGAGCTACAGGTAATTTTGAATTAGAGCCCGGTTTGTTCAGTAGGGCTTCCATGTCCAGTCATTCTGGTGTGGGCCTCGGAGGAGACCATGAGACTGCAAATCTTCATGGGAGCAGATAGCTTCATAGCGTCTTCTTTCTCCTGAGGAGTAACTAGTGGATTTGAACCACCAGCCTTGTGATTAGCATTCCAAAACTTACAGACAATGCCATCAGAGCTTGTTATTTCTCTCTCTCTCAATTTATCTCTCTATAGAGTTGTACCAATTTGGGGGAGTTATGCCAATATTAGTTTGCTCCTAAGGACAAGAGATAGAAAAAGAAGAATTATATGGGTAGCAATTAGAGTATTTTCTTGGGTAAATGAAGGAAAGATTGTATTAATATGATACATAAAATTCTCTCATTGAGTTATAATAAGCATATATAAAGAGTAGAGTACAGTAATTTATATTTATATATTTATGGGCTTAAAACTGTTCATGGAAAAATGAAGTGATAAGATAATGCAAAATTTTCACTAACTTTTGGATGTTACCTTATATTTTTTCTCACCAGTAATATAAGGGCACTATGAGTCTACAGTGACTCTGACAGAAGGAATGAAAGTATTATCTAGGGCTTCTGGGAGAATTTGGTAACTTCCAAACTAGTCTTTTTCTTTTTTTTTATGTATCATTTTATTAGGGCCTCATACAACCCTTATCACAATCCATTCGTACATCAGTTGTGTAAAGCACATTTGTACATTCATTGCCCTCATCATTCTCAAAACATATGCTCCACTTAAGCCCCTGGCATCAGCTCCTCATTTTTTCCACTTCCTCCCCACTTCCCCCTCCCTCATGAATGCTTGATAATTTATAAATTATTATTTTGTCATATCTTCCCCTGTCTTAGATCTCTCTTCACCCATTTTTCTGTTGCCCGTCCCCCAGGGAGGAGGTTATATGTAGATCCTTGTAATCGGTTCCCTCCTTCCAAACCACTCTCCCTCTAACCTCCAGTATAGCCACCCACACCACTGGTCCTGAAGGGATCATCTGCCCTGGACTCCCTGTGTTTCCAGTTCCTATCTGTACCAGTGTACTTTCTCTGGTCTAGCCATAAACTAGTCTTTTTCTACATGCATTATTTCCATGCAGGTTAAGAAAAAGAAGGTGACTATATTGTTGCAGGGAATGAGGCTGTTTTTCTAACCTACTTTGTCTAATATGCCTTCACTAGGAAGAGTCAAACTAGTATTAGAAACAGATTCTCAGCAGATAGGCACAACTAAAGTTCAGAAGATACAGCAAAATTGAGTAGAGAGTGAACACCTCTGATAGGTGCCTATTAAATTAGAAGCACATTAAAGATCAGAAGTGGGCTGTTTTCCTTCATAAGTTTTAATTTGACTACTTACAAGTTTTCAATCTTTGTTTCAAACCTTAACAGTAATTTAGACTGGAAAGATTCCAAACTGTCACACACACTCTTATTAATGTAATCTCCCACGTCTATAAATTAGAGCATTCACATGCAATGCATTTTCCATTCGGAGTCATCATATTTCTAACAGGAGCACGCTGACACATTCTTTATGGCCACTTCTGAGAATGGCTATCGTTGGTTTGACACAAGTACAGAAGAGCAGTGGCAATAGGGACGAGGGCTGAGGAAAGTAACATAGAATGCACTCTGGATTTTAAATGTGCTTTTTAAAATTCCTAACCTAGATGTTGCTGAAAAAGACGGAGCTTAAATAAAGTTTAATGCACTTATTGCATATGTTTCTAGTGATGTTACCATAAGCATTTAAGTTTTGCACATTTAAGTTCTGTGGTATCTGGGTCTGTTCAGATACCAAATTCCTATGCCCCAAATTGAAATATGGAACATGCAGTTAACATCTCTCTATAAGTATGCACAAGTCTTTATGCATGTGATCCTTGATAATCGTTCAGCAGAATATATATTGATCAATTGAATACTTTTTCCTATTCTTATTCGATTTATGTTTACATAAATCATGCTGGTTTTTACACAGAAATTCTAAGAATTCCATTTATAATTTGTAAATAGAGTACGAGAAAGTCCAGTTAATTGTAATGATCACAAAATGCTAATGTAGACTGGCCAAATAATTGCACCAAATCAACCTCCACTGCAGATATTTGATCCAGGCAACCATCACCAAGCCTCATTATGCAGGGTTGGCTTAGGTACCTCTTTATATCTATTCGATTTTCTACCAATAAACCTGGATGGGAAAGTTACATTTGGAACTATTTACTGGGTATCCTATAATAGGGGATTTTTTTCCCTCTAGGTTGTTCTGGATAGACAAATACTCAAATACATTCTATAAATTCTTCTGATAATAATCAAAATATATATAATAGGTGTGTTAGTCTAGGTAAAGTAGAGAAACAAATTTATAAACACGCATATGTATATAAGGGAGAGGTTTATATACATGAGCAATTGAACATTGAGAAAACATCCCACGCTGATGAAGTGCTGGATGCACTCACTCATCCATGCCAGGAAATAGGAAGTTTGCTACCTGGTAAACTGACTGAAAGAGACGCATTTGTATGAATTGCACAGAAGGTAACCCCCCCCAAAATACTCAATTAACAGAACAATGTCATTGATATTATATGCAAATAAAATTTTACTGAAGATCACCTAACAATGATTGCAGCAGCGCTATGGGTTCAGGCCACTTCAGAAGAGGACATAGCAGAAAGGATATCATTGCTTATATCAGATGAAAATTGGCTGAAAGCATTAACTACCAGAATGGTGTTTATTTCCATTTTATGGACTATAAATATAAAAGGCATTAGAGAGTGTGGATTGTCACAAATGATGGATAGCCTTGGGAAGATCCAGAACACTTTATTGTCCTCATCTGGAATCTACACAAGGAGCAAAAGACAGGTGGGTGAAGAGTACAATGGAATGGTTCGTGGTCTAAAATCAGGAAAGCGAACATCAATGTTGTATCCTCTCAGCATACGTCTTCAATATTTACGCTGAGAAAGTCACCAGAGAAGTTGAATTATATAAAGAAGAATTGGCATCAGATTTGGAGGAAGGTTTATTAACAACTTATGATGGGCAGATGACACTACTTTGCTTGTTAAGAGTGAGGGGGATGTGAAGCGGTTGGTGATGAAGATCAAGGATTGCAGCCTTCCATAGGTAGTACAATTCAATGTACAGAAAACCAAAATCTTCACAATTGATTAAACAGTTAACAATGATAAATGGAGAAAACACTG